GGCAGAGACTGCATCCTCTTCACCCAGCACATAGTAGGTGCTCAGGAAACACCACCCAGTTAATGGGTTAGCCCTGGTGCCCTCTGGGCCCCCTGCCGACTCTCCACAGCCCAGGGCTTGCTGCCCTCTCCCAGCACAGCCTCAGGGGAGCGAAGCCAGGGTGGGCATGCGTTCATATCTGAAAGGAATCTGGGCGAGAGTCAGACTTGTTCATTGCCTGACCTCTGAAGCTGTGACACAGGGACTGCCACCTTACAGTTTAAGTGAAAATCTCACGGGGGCCAATGCTAACACCCTGGGCAACTCCAACCCTGATGGGTTCTTTTGTGCTTGTCCTTGTTTTAATAAGAGTAGAGCTTTCCTGTTCACTATGCAAAGACTAAAGAAATGCAGAGGGGGGAGCAATTAGCAAATCCATCTTTTATTTGTTTACTTCTGGGCTGGTAGAGCTAACTAGTAGTTCTAGGGATGTTGTTATTTTTATTATTTTTATTTTTAAGGGACATCCACCAGTATGGTTGAATTTTATGAATCTCAACTCATACACCAGTGGCCAGAGCAGCTGATTCCTCTCGACAACAAGAAGTGGAGAGGTAACAGCATAAGGGGCTGTGCATGGTGTCAAGACTCCCTTGTGTTGACGGCCCTTCAGAAGGCTGCTTGCCCGCTGAGCCTGCGGGAGCTCGGTGGGGCCTGCGTGTCTTTTCCACTTGGCCTTCAGTAAATATCCGATTGCATGCTCTATGTCAAATGCCTGGTGGGGAGACAAAGTCCCAGCCCTCCCAGCGCTCATCCTGCGCATGGCTGATGTGACCACACTCTGCGTGTCCTTAACCTCATGAAACATCTGTGGGATCTTGCAAAAAGCTGCTAAATCAATCCGGTCGGCTACCATATGGGCCAAAGCTCAGACGGGCCATACACCAAATCAACCGGCGGGTCTAAAAAGCAACTTAAGCTGAATGCTGTCCAATTCCTCTTGGATATGGAGACGGTTTAACAGAAACACTGGTAAAGCTGACCGTCATCATAGATGAATTTTTTTTTCCATCCTTAGAAAAATAGTTAAAAATAAGGGGTGAGCGTGGAGGACGGCAGAGGGGGCCGAAGCTCGGAGGTCTGCGGAGTCCAGGAGGGGCCCCCCTGTTTGTCATCTCTCGGGAGCTATTACCTGAAAGACCCCCTTCGCAGAGCAGTCCCTGATTACAGCCTGGACCCTGCAGAGCAAAGAATGAATCTGGGGCTGGATAAGGAAGGCTTTGTAGTGGCCTGAGAATACCTCAGGCATTAATAGAGCATTTTTGCACAGGTTGAAAATGCATTCTTCATTTTTCCTTGACAGCTGGTTAAAGAGGAATGCAACAGGCCGGCTGTGCAGGGCTTTAGAAAGACAGCAGGCTCAGCCCAGCTTCAGAGCCGCCTTTATCCCTGCGCAGAACTGGTTTTTAAAGGCTACCTTAGGGGAAGGCCTGACCTTTCTAGGTTCTCAGCCGATGTGAGGTACTTTCTTCTTCTGCCGTCTGGGGGAGGCCCGAGCTCCCCGGCCCAGGGGTTGGGCAGATTGTGTGCTAGTTCTTTTCCTGGGACTCAGACTCTAAGCAACTTTGGCCAAACCAGCCCATCATCCATGGGCCCCAGTTCTGGCGGTCGGGGAAGACGGAGCTTCAGGCCTGCTGCACCCCCAGCCCTGTGGCCCAGGACAGGTCCCTGCCCTCTCTGGTCCTCGTTCCCTCATCTGTTAGGTGTAACTTATCTGTTACAGGGTTGTGGCCATGACGAACACGTGCTCCGGGTATTCACTGTTAGTCACTCCTTCACATGCATCAAGGCTCAGCTCGACCTCACCTCTTCCAGGAAGCCCTCCTGACCCCCATATTCAGTGTCCACAAAGGGCATGGGCTAGAGCAGGCAGCGGTTCCACCAACACCTGGAGTAGGTACGTGTCCCTTCCTGGATATTGCAGGAAGCCAGGGGCTGCTTGGTGGTTCCCAATGGGCCTGGAAGCCCCCCCAACCCCTGCCGGGGTGCAACAGATGGGAAGCTTGAGTGGCCCCAGAAAATGCTTTCTCTGTTTCCACTGATGGAGAGGGCTTCTGGCTAAGGTTGATTGAAATGAGAAGAGCATGGGTGCACACCAGTCTGCAAACACGGGACCTGCAGTGTCGGAGGTGCTGGGTCGCAGGTGGTCGTTGAATCAGTTCCACCCTTTGGCCAAGCGATACAAGCACATCCATGGATTTGTGAGGATGGAGGTGTATGGGAGGTATTTGTGAGGCTGCGGGGTGATGTGCTCGGCGATGGCTCCTGGGCTCCCAGCCAGCGGCGGGATGCCCCGCTGCAGGCAGACAGGCCCAGAGCGGCAGCGCCAGGCCCAGGTGTAGGGCCGTGTGTGCCAGGGCTGCCCCCAGAGGCCCAGGAGCTCCTGGGCTGCACAGAAGGTACTTGGGGCAGAAGCAGAGAGGGAAGGAAGCGGGGATAAGGAGGCCCAGGGAAGAGACCCCAAGCAGAGAAATAACGCAGCAGCTGGTGGGTGTGCAGACAAGAGCTCCGCCTGAAACACAGCCTGGGTCCCACCTCAGGGAGAGTTGTGCCCTCTGGTCTTAGTCCTCCGTACTGGCACCAGGCAAACTCCAGGACCCCAGCCAGGTGGACATTCTACAACCACACCGGAAGTGGACGAGCCCACCGGGGAGGCAGGTCTACATGCAGATGAACTCCCAAGGACCGGCCAGGGCCTCCCACGCACAGCACAGGGGGTGCAACTAGGCAGTGAGAGAAGCTGCTCAGCCGGTACTTTCCCACAGTCCACTCCCAGGAAGTCCATGCGGGGTGGCCCCATGGTCGCCCCTCAGCCCCAGGGGCTCTGTTCTGATCCCCCCTCTATCTGAGAGGCACCTGGAGAAGAATGGTGAGCCCTCTCACCTCTCTGGCTCTCAGCTTCCCCCTCTACAAAAGGAAGGGGTGCAGGAAATGGTCTCCAGGAGCCTGCAGGCTCTGGCACACCAGAATTTTCTGCCCCAGTGGATGGGAAGCTGAGAAGCAGAGACTCCCAGGTTGGTTCTGTTTGGAGTATGGATGCCACTAGAAAATGTGCTGGTGGGCACTGGATCTGAGCCCAGACGCTGCCCGACCCTCTGGCATCGGTCACCCCAGGAAGGATTTAGTTGGGACCGAGTACAGGAGCAAACACGGCATGGAGCCCACCCCCAAGACAGCCCTGGCCATGGGGCTTGTTGCAGTCTCTCCAGGCATGCCTGTCTCAGCATCACGTTTTGATGATCCTGTTTATGGGGCTGTCTTTCTCCCCTGCTGGAATGCAAAGCCCTCGGGCAGGGACCACATGGTACTTATTCATCTGTGCATCCACAATGCCCAGCCCAGGGCCTGGCGCAGGTGGGGGCTCAGGAAGGCGCAGAAATGGAAAGAATGAACAAGTAAATCAGAAAGTTCTGATTCCCGCTCCTCTGGTTCCAAAAGCTGAGAATTACCCCAGGGCAGCCATGGTGCGGATGCCCTGGCAGGCCCCACATCACAGGCAGCAGGAGGTGGGTTTCTGTGCACAAGTGTTGCAGGTTGCTCACCATTCTCCCAATCCAAGCCAGACAAACCCTTGACCCCACCTCCGCCTGTCCGGCCTCCTCCTCAGGCCCCGAGGTCCCTTAGGGGTCTCTTCATCCGAGATGGGGGAAGCTGAGGCTCAGAGCGAGCAGTGACTCAAGGGCAAGCAGCAAGTTTCCTGACTACTGACAATCAAACCTCACTCCCTCCCCTTGGAATCCCAGCAGGACTAATGGACCATTAATTGTAATTAACTAATTATTCCTGCTGCCAACTAGCGGAGGAGGAGGCTGGGGGTGGGGAGCCCCTAAATGAGTCAGTCATGTTTACAACATGCAAACCCATTTAAGAGCTTGTAAAGTCGCTATAAATGGCTCTTGGCAACAGGGGAAATAACGATTCCCGGTCTCCATCAGATGCCAGTTTAACAACCGTCGGGTATGGGACAGACGGCCCGGGATTCTAAGATCCAACAGCGCCACCTAGAGGCCGTGTCCCAGAACGCTCCGCGCCGGTCCCGCCGCTCCGAGGTGCGGAGGAACGCCCCTGTTCACCACCTCACGAATTCAGGGCACAACAGACCCCGAAGCCCACTTCTCCCCGTTCACAATGGGGAAACTAAGGCACAGGTGAGGATATGGCCTGGCCCTCGGTTGCTCATCTGCTTTGAAAATGTTCAGAGTCTAAATCTAAGTCCAAAAGGCAAATGGGAACGTTTTCATTCGCCCATGAACTTAAACTCTTTGAAACATGGCAGTTCAGGAAAGGTACTGTTCCCAGACTCACTCACCTCTCCACCTGGGCCTGTGCGTGCCCTTTCTCCATCCCCCCCACATCCCCGCCAGCCCTCCTCTGCTCCACGGCACTGAATCACCAGGGGGAGGCTCCATATCAGGGGTGGATGCCAACCCCGCACTCTAAGGGACAGCCATGCGGGAGGGCACAAGTGGACACACAGCCAGGCAAGCCAGTTCCAGCCAAGACCAGAGCCAGGCTCCAACTGCCCACCTGCCATTCCTTCTGCTGGGCCACAGGGATAAGAAATCGCACCAGCCCCCTTTGACAGGGGTCTGCGTGAGCCCTGGGACGGCCCGGCCCTGAGACCACCTGTGTGATCTCGTCTTAACTTCACGGTCCTGAGACACAGAGATCTGGTTAATCCACTCACTTACAGGTGGGGAGACCAAGGCCCACGGGGTCACCCTGGAGCCCACCGGGCAGCCGGGGGCAGATCCCGAGCAGGCTCCACCCTGGGTGCTCCTTGAGCTGGGACTGGCTGGGGGCGTGGGGGTCCCGGCTGGGCCCTGAAGGACAAGTGGGACCAGCTACAGGAGGGGGACTCAGGCAGGAGCCAGGGCAGTCCAGGGAGGCTTTCCCTCCCTAATGGCACAACAGGTCCCGGCTGAGCAGCCAGCAGGGGCCGAGGGGGCCCGGATGCCTACCCACAGTCATGCCGTCCATGTAGCGCTTGATGATGTCGAAGGAGTCCCGCAGGTTGCCTTCTGTTATGTCGAAGATGATGTCAGCGTGGTTGGCAGGATACACCGGCATGATGGCCCGGAGAAAGATGATCTCTGTGAGAGAGGGGCACAGCGTGGGAAGGGGTGTGGGGCCGGACCCCACCAGCCCCAGAAGTGGAGAAGATGGAGGAGGGGTCTTGAGGGGCTATACACCACAGCCTAAACCCTTTTCGTCAATGGGGAAACTGAGGCCTGCAGAGATTTTTAGATCTTCCCTGAGGTCGCTGGAGCTTATCAGGGGCAGTGCCAGACCTAAGAAGTAATTAGTGATTAGCCATGAAGCTTCATGAGGCCGGGGAGACAGGGAAGGGGGATGGATGAGGGGGCAAAGGTGGAGAGGTTAGAGGGACAAGGCAGCGGGCTGGTGTCCTGCCCTAGGGTGACTCGGGTCAAAACCACTTCTTAGGGTGGGCTGGGCAGTTTGGCGGCTGAATGCCTCTCCCAGACCACCCGACGTGATGCAGGGCAAACTGCGCTGGGCTGGGGGCACAAGGCCCTGATTCTGCCCAGGCTCTGAGCGATCTTGGGGGTGTCCTCTCTCCGGGCATCAGTTTCTTCACCCTTAAAGTGAAGAAGGCAGACCCCTGGTGCCCACTAAGTGTCCTTTCAGTGCTAAAGGTCAAAGTCTGGATTTCCTGAGCCCAAGATACTAACAAGTGTCTTTAGCCACATTTACTTCCCTGTAGAACCAACTCCCAGATCATCCCGGGCTGAGAAGCCACAGAGCTGGCCCCCAAGGATTTGGGAAGAATTGTATGTGGTTTGGTAGAACCTGTCATTCCACACAAGGCAAACACCACTCAGTGATTTTTTCCGATCCAAGTCCGTGCCACCTGCAAAGATTCTGGGCTTCCCCTTCCTAGAGGAAGGAGTCAGCGAGTAGGGGGCCCGGAGGCCACTGCTCCCAAGGGCACCCAAGCCTTCGGGGAGCCTCTCTGGCCTTGCCCTGCCCCCACCAGGTTTCTGCTCTGGTTGTGCTCCTACGTCACCCTGCAGGGTGCTGCCGTGGCTGTCCCACAGGGGGTGGTCAAGCTGGCCTAATCCTCTCCCCTGAGGGATTCAGAGGGCCCTTCTTGTTGCAGTGTCCCAGAGCCTGGCCTGAGCCGGAAACACAGGCAGCCCAGGCAGTGTTTGCTGAATCAGCCATGGTGAGCTCTTCCCAGGAGGGATGAACACTGCAGAGGAAGTGGGTGGCTGCCCACCGCCAGCCCTGACACCTGGCAGCACTCCTTGCAGGCAAGGCGGACAGAACATCCTTCTGCTGAGGGCCAGAGAGTGCTGCCCTGAGAAACGGGCACTGTGATGGCAGGTCCACCCCAGAGAAACGGGCACTGTGATGGCAGGTCCACCCCAGAGAAATGGGCACTGTGATGGCAGGTCCACAAAGCAGGCCCAGAGCTGCCTACAGGGAAGGGGCGGGCATGGGAACCCTGGCCGTCTACTCCTCCTGGGCTCCCTGCAGCCCATCTGCCCCTCAGTCTCCAGGGTGCAGCCCTTTGGGGCCTTGGAGTTGGAGCCCTGACACCAAGTTCAGGCTCAGCCTCTCAAGCCCAGCTCTGCCACTCCAGCCAGAAAAACTTGGTTTAGTTCCTCAAATGCCCAGAGCCTTCGCTCACCTCCAGAACTTTCTAGATGAGTTCTGTTCTGTTCGGTACCCTCTGTTCTCCCTGCTCCCTACTTCTACTAGATTACCTCCTATTGACCACTTAGGCCCCAGTGTGGAAATCACTTCCTCCTGGAGGCCCTCCCTGACTCCCCAGTGACTGGCATAGAGCCAGTGCATAAGAGCTGTTTGCTGTAGGACTGCCAAGAGACCCCTGAACTGAGAACCAGGAATAGGCTGGCACAGTGCTGGGCATGCTGGGAACATGGAGGAGGTGGAGGCAGACCCCCTCCTTCCAAGGACCGGCTCCTTTGGGCCAAGATCTCAGCTCAAGCCCTGGGAGGCCAGGGAGGGGGCTGCCTCACAGAGATGCTTCTTTAGACAATAGCCTCCTCCGGGACTCCCCATGCCAATTCCAGGCCGTGGGAGTCGGCACTCACCTTCCGGGCGGGTGAACTCGCGGAAGGTGGGCAGTGAGACGACAGTGTGGGAGATGGTGTGCACCGGGTCCAACACGCAGGAGACGTCGCTCGGGCGGCAGGACTTGATGCAGCGGACTGTGTCTGTCTTCTCCTGGCGGAGCCTGCAGGGAACCACAGCACAGAGGTGGGTGGGAAAGTCGGAACCGCAGCGCCCACACAGGCTTTGGGAGGAGCGGCAGGTGGCCGGGTGGGGAGCCCCATCCCAGAGGCAGCTCCATCCGAGGACCAAAGCAGCCTCTGCGGCCTGGCTCCGGGCCTTCCTGAAAACTGGACCAGGACCCAAACACCAGAGACACCCTCCAGTTCCCATCTGCTCTGGCTGTGGGTAAGCAAAGCTTTGCTATTCGCCAACTGTACAGACTGAGCTTCAGTTACAACAATTGTAAAATGCGTTCATTCATTCACTCGCTCTGCGGGTGTGTTTGGAGTGTCTGCTGGGTGCCAGGCACCAGGGAAAGCAAAGCAAATGGTCGTGCCTTCCCAGAGCCCTGAGCTAGGGGAAGCCCGGGGGAGTAAGGGAGGGAACACACAGAGTACCCCGCCTGGTGGCCAGCGCGCAGGAGTGAGGTCTGCAGGTCATGGCATGGACGGGAGGGAGGAGAAGTTGAAGTCTGTAACGGGTCTATGTTCCAAGCATTGCGCTAGACTTAGTTTTAGAACCATCATCATCACGTGATTTTTAAAAAATATCAGTATGAACTCACAGATGTCAACTATTTGATGGATTTAAATCCATTACAATTATTATCTTTTGTTGGAGCTCAAGTTTTCCCATCTTCAGCCAGAGGGAAAATCAGGCTGGCTCCTGAGTCCCTTCGACCCGGCCCTAGGAATCTGTGATAGGCCTGCTCTCCGGCCTGACACGGTGGCCCAGCCTTGTCTGGTACTCTGACTGCCCCAGCCATTTCTCCAAGAAGTCTTGGGCTTTTTGTTTTGCATTGTTTTTTAGTGGCAAATTGCATTGCAATCTGGATACCAGGCATGCTCAGGGCTACTGCATTGGTCCTTGTTTCTAAGCCTCTTCAGTGGACATTTTTAAAAAGAAAATACATGGGGAGTTCATACTGATAACTCTTGATTCAAATCAAGAACCACACAGTTCTCTATTACAAAGGATTCTTCTCTTCTATATTGCAAATCTCTTCTCTATTACAAAGGATATATTACTTTCTTCCATATCAGAATCCTGGTTCTTAAGAACACAGGAGATGATAGCCTATCCCATCGTGATTTATTTAATTTATTTCATATTCTGACATAGTAGTCTCAGAATAGCAAAACTAAAATTACAATAACATAATTACTTAAAATAATATTTTTGGGATGTGTTTTGTTTTACCTACAATTTTTAAATAGATGCACCATAGCTGCATTGTCTGAGCATATAGTGCTTCATACGATACTTTTTTCTCGCTTAGTTGTGGTCCTATGAGTAACTGTGCTTAATGCTTGTATGTTAATAATAGTTTGCACCCTTTGTACACACAGGTCTGTTTTGTTGGGTATAAATCCTTGGCTCACCTTTTCTTAAATATCCTAAGCATTTATCTTCCTCTGGCGTAAGTGTTGCTATGAAAAAGTCTGATGATAATAAACTTTTCCCCTTATAAGTCACTTGCCTTTTTTTGCCTATATGTTCATAGGTGGTTTGTTTTCTCTTTTCTTTAAAGTACAACAATATCTTGGTGCTGATTTCTCTGAGTAGATACGTTCAGCTATGTTGTGTGTTCTTTCAATATGGAATTTCACATCCTTTTTTTTTTTTAATTTCTGGGAAGTTTCTTGAGTTACCATTTTTAGTGTTTATTTTGTTGCCCTGTTTTGAGTGAGTTCTTCAGAGGTTTCTATGATCTATACTCATCTTCTTGGCCTCCCCTCAGCACCTGTCACTTTGCCTTCTTATCTTTTTTTCTAACTTAAAAAATGTTTCTTCTTTCTGGTTTCTCTTTTTCGTTAAATATTTATTTCTGAAATTGCTTTTTGCTTTAATTTTAAATCACTTCTACTTTTGTCACTTCACTTCTCAGTTTTTCCTAATTCCGACTTACATTTTCCTTCCACTTTTGATGGTTTTCCTAATGCTTTTACTTTGTGTTGATACAAGTTGCCTTTTCTATCTCGTCTATGAGTGGATCTTCCTGTTGTACTTTCATTACCCAGAGGGAGGTCATTCTGGTCCTTGTCAGCCCACAATAACTTGTATGGATTCAACCTTGATACTTTTCGGCTCATCATTTTTAGGTGAAATGAGTTTTCCTGAAATTTTAGACGGAGCCGTGGTTCACGGTGGGTTTTCTGAGTTCACGGAACTCCCTCTCCTGTCACCATGGGCAGCTTGCTTTCCGATATTTCTCTACATTCCCCTGCATCTTCTTCATCTATAGGTGCCTCTATATTGCCTCTTTAGATATCACAACCTATATTGCTTCTTTCCTGCTCCACTTTCCACTGTTGACCCTTGAACAATGCAAGGATTAGAGTTGCTCACTCTCCACAGGGTCAAAAATCCCTGTATAACTTTAACCGCCCAAAAAGTCACTACAAATAGCCTGTGGACTGGAAGCCTTCCTGATGAAATCATTAACACATTCTATATATTTTACATATTATATACTATCTACTGTATTCTTACAATATAGTAAACTAAAGAAAAATCTTTTCAGATTGTCACAAATCTCTAAAACATTTCTCCAATAAATTTTTTGAAAAATACTCCACATATAAACAGACCCACACAATTCAAACCCATTCTTTCCAAGGGTCAAATGTACTTTATATCCAATAGTTTTGCTGGAGTGTGAGATGCTGACCTTATGGGAAACCCTGCTGGCTCAGCTTCAAGAGTTCTTAGGGGCTAAACGGTGCCGTCCCTTCTCTCCTTCCGTGAGTTCCTTGCCCACACTGGCCACTGGAATGAGCAGAACGGCCCCCAGTCTCAGCTGCTGTTCCAAAACCGATCTACCGCACTTCCTAGGGAAAACCTGTTGACTATTTTGGGGTCCTCACTGCTTTCCTGAACAGATGCCAGTATCATGCAGGTAGGCACGAACTGTACTGGGGGACTCATAGGGGTTTTGTCACCTTGTTTACTTGTAAATGTTTTCTATGAATTTCTAAATTTTTTATCTAGTTGTTCAGTGTATTTTTTGGCTGGGAGCCAGAGAGCTTCAAACACTATGCTACGGCCTCTTCCCGGGGTCTGCGGACACTGCACCCGGCATCTCATTTGACCTGCCCAGCTCTTCCCTCTCCACCACCCTGCCTCCTGTTTAGCTCATAAAATACCCCGCCTGTACTTGACAATTACAGAATGCACTTAAATACAGGGATTTCTGAGATGAGGCTAGAGTAATAATCTGACCAGGGCTGACTGATCCCAGGAACCCCGCCCTCATCACGAGTTTTAAGCAGCAGGGGCAGAGCATCAGAGAAGAGGGCAGAGCCAGACGCCTGGGTTCAAGTCCCAGCCCCGCCTGATTCCAGCTGTGCAATGTTGGGCAGGTCAATCATCCCCTCTGGGCCTCCATGTTTCCACTGTAAAATGGGGACCATAACAGTCCATCCCCAACAAGACTGCTGTGAGGACTGAGTTGCTTGGACAGGGCCTGGCCCACAGGAAGTAGTAAATGCATTAGCTGTCATAGTTACTATCATTACAATGATACTCAATGATTGTCATTTCCCCTCGGGAGCTTGGCTAGTACAGTGACACACTCAAAAGGTCTACAAGTCAGGCGCTCTACATATCTGGCCCTGCTTGGACATGTCCAGACCCTCTGAACCTTCATTTCCCATTTAAATCAAGATCCAAATGAATATCCAAGTACCTTCCAATGAACGAAGAAACCAACACTTAGTGACTACCGACTGTATGCTAGATATGGTCTCCTGTGTAATTAATTGCATGCAATCTTCAAAATAACCCAAGGTGGGCTTGAAGCTCTGAGGGCAAATGAGTTATCAAAGATCACAACTAGTAAATGGCAAGGAGGACATTCAAACTGTTGCTTGTTTTTTTCTGCCCCATATGAACTCAGCGGCATATTAGGCTACGGCTATGTAGCCACAAGGAACAGCACCCAGGTAATTCAGGTATCACCCCCCACACACGCACTCGGGCACACACAGAGAGCCATCTGAGGTGCCCAGCAGGCCCCCTTACCAGGCAGGGAGCTCCACAAACAAGGGAAGGTGAGGACAGCTGGATGCTCCGTTGGCAGGAATGTTGTGCAGGGACCTTGGCCGGGTATGTAAGGTCACTGGACGGCCTCTAATGCCCCTTAACACTCCCCTTTAACACTCCCATGGACATAAAGGCGGAGGGCTGCTCCCACCCTGGGTTGTCTGAACCGTGATGAGAGAGTAACTGAGAAAAATGACTGAGTGAGTCCCTGCTGTGCCCTGCTGCCTTCTCAGGAGGTAAAAGTTGAGTTAAGCCTTGAAAACACCGTCCATCCATCCGTCCGTCCATCCGTCACCCACCCATCCGTCTGTCCATATATTCATTCATGTTTACTGTCTCTTCCACTGGCCAAATACTGTGAAGTCACAGAGACTGGAGACACACTCCCTGCCCTCAAAAAGGCCCTGGTGCGGTGAGGGTGAGGGAAATAACAGCCACAAGATGACAGGGTGAGCGCTCCGATGGGGTATGCCCGGGGCTGGGGGAGCACCATGCAGGAGGGGCTTCACTCAGGAGCTGACTTCCGAGCTGAGCCTTCAAGGAGAATGGTGGTTTGCAGGATGGCGTGGCCCATGGTAAAGCCAGGGGAAGGCACATCCCTGCATGACCAGAACACGGGCAACGGGGTGAGCTGGAGTGGGAGGAGAATGGCGAAGAGGCTGAGGCCGGCGGGGCCTTGAGTGCCATTCCAGGGGAGTTGGGCCTTTTGTTAGTAAGAGAAACACAGAAGGTTCTAAAGAGGAGGGACGTCACCAGACTGGCCCTTCACACAGGTCCTCCGGCTACAGCTTGGAGCACGCACTGGAAGAGGGGAGGCGGGAAGCCCGTCCGGACCAGAGGTGACCAGGGAAGTATGGCTGGCTGTATGGGAGGCCTGGAGATGACTGGCGGGAAGCGTGCATGCTTCCGCGGCCCGTC